AAATTGCGCTGAAGATGACTTGAAGACAAGTCGAAACGTCCGCACACATCTTTTATTCTTATATATATTATATTAGTTTTGTTTTTTGTTTTTGTATTATGAACTATTAATATATATTTCTTTCTGATTATTGACCTACATTTTTAATTGATACTTAGCTCTCTACGCCTATTGGACCTCTTTAAAAAAAATTAATATGAAATTAATTTTAAAATATCGATTAATTCGTACGAATGAATACAATGAAACAAAAAGAGACTGTTACGTGGTTGCTAAAACGAGAGAAACAAACATGATGCATAATTTATATACGTAATTGTTGTCATTTGAAAAATGTCTTTCTCAACACTTCGTTATGCACCTAATAACTACATAACAATGGGCCGTCTCTTTTCGCCGCATGCTAATATTTATATGAATTGATCGATCTTTATTAATTAATTTCTTTTAATATATATTCCTTTATATTCCTTTTTATATATGTTTTCTTTAATATATTTTATATATATTAATAATTATGAAAATAGCAAAACAGTGAAGGACTTCTCTATTCAGTTTAATTTGCTTTATCTGCACATGAGAGTGATACAGTTATTACTGGATACTTTTTACAGAAGTGATAGAGTTATTTTTGGTGTGAGAAATAAATGAAGTACACTGTATATCAATTTGGTATAGATGGATAACTAATAATTTTGTGCAGCTTATTAAGATAAGGAATTAAGATAGAATCGTGCGATTTAGAATAAAATATAAACGTTTTATAATAAAATATATAATAGGGAACCATGGGCATTATACCGTCTCAATTATCTTTGATATACCATGACCGGTGCCTTGACGACTATAATTGTCGGGCTTATCGTAATTCTCATTACTTCCCAAAATGTTGAAAAGTTATATCCAATGCTCCTGGCGCCGTTTATGAGAAAATACTTGAAGACTTCGAGCAAAGATGTTCTGTCTGAAGAACTTCAGATCAAGGTATTTTATTATTTTTTAAAATTATTTTTTATTGTTTTTATTATTTATTATTTTTTATTATTTATTAAATTATTTTTTATTATTTTTTTTAAATTTATTTTATCATTTTTAAATGAATCTTTTCCGATTAAAAACAATGATTTCATGTCAGTCTACTTTCTGTTCAAAAATTCTCCTGAATTATCAATGTAGCAATATATTAGTAGTTTATTTACTATTGGGAATATGCATTGTGTGTTTTAATATATAAATATATTAACATGTTTTTCTATTAATAAAATATTTTTTAAATATATTAATATTAATAAAAAATAATAAAATAATTTTTTAATACATTTGATTTATTGTTTCTATTATAGATTACAAAATCTGAAAAGGATGAGAAGATGGCATTTCGCGCTATGAAGATGATAAATTTTTAGAAGCGACTTTGACATGATGTGTAATATAATTAAGTTACATTAATTGTATTACATTAATTGTATTATTGAATTTCCGAATTTCCGAATGTATTAAAAAGATGTGTATTCGACACTAATGTGGCATATCGTTTTGTGTACTAAAGTGTAGAATTATACTAACAGAAGCTTTGTATATGAAGTTTATACATGTGATACTATATATTCTTGATAGTGTTGTAACATGTATATTGTAAAAATTGTTATAGGTCGTTGTGCATATTGTTTTTACTTAAACGCTATAATAAATAAGGATACAACGAGAGTGTATAGTTTTACTAATTAATAATAGATTTCATTAATTTTTTATTTTAAATTGTACAATGATTCAAAGAAATACTGGAAAATGATAATTGATGCTGTATTTTTCAAAAATAAATAGAATTTGAAAGTAAAGAATTTGAATTTTGAATTATTTAAAATAAGTCTACACAGTAAAATATTTTGTGTTAAATTTAACATATTTCACATGTCCCAATTTATCCACTCTAATTTTAATGTTAATTTAACAGAAGGCAAGTATGTAAATAAATAACACAAGTAATATGTTTAAAAATTAATACAAAAAAGTGTAAAGGTGCATTTTCACATACCGCTGGAACAAATAGTTGAAGCGACAGATTTGTCGCTCATAATTCAGCAACTACAATTTGATAGTTTAGATCGGTTCAACTATAAAGCATTATCGCTCAAACGATGTGTCAAACGCTGATACATTGCTAACAGTGCTGCCGTGCTGTATTAATTATATGTACTAAAATAAAAATGTAATAAATTTTCCAATTGCGTTGATGACATACGAAAATAATTCAGAAATCTTGCACTTTCTAATCTCACATTCGGTAAAATAGCTTTGTAAAATCCATATTGATCATGATTTTGAAAAAGTGGTGCGACCTAAAATTTTTTTTTCAATAATGTCTTTTTTGTTCCTGATATGTCGATAGTAATATAATAAAAACGATATCATTTTCAAATTGTATTTGACGTTTTCGAATTATTTTATTACAATTTGATATTCAATTATAATATTTTCTTCTTTTGAAAGCTATCATCCCAGCAAACCAAAATATTACAGCTACATTGCCGCAACATTGCTGCAATGTAATATTGCCGCAATATTCTGTGTTTGCTGGAATTATTGCTTTCTACAGCACAATTTTATCGCTGCAATCTTTTTTCATGTGCACAAGTGTCGCTGTAATAGTTTAGCGACAAGAGTCGTTACATGATCATTTTTGTCACTCAAATGATCAGTTTCAGCGGCACGTGAAAATGCACTTTAACACTTAAACTTTATTTGGAAATAAAGTTTATGTTAAAATTAATATATTTATAATGTTGAATTTAATTTTAAAAAAATGTTATTCTTACATTCTTATGATAAATAACAGAAGAGATATGTCGATCTAGCATATGGAAACTGTTGTATAGAGAGAAAAATAACACAACTTATCTGTTCATTTTAACATATAACATATTTCATCAAAAATTGGATTTACGAAAAAATTTCAAAAAATTGGAACATATAACATATTTCATCAAAAATTGGATTTACATATAGTTCTTTTAACTCTTAGAAACAGTAAATATTAACTCAATGCAGAAATGTCAAAACGCAACGATAATACGTTACATTAACATAAGAGTATGTTAAAAATGTAACACAAAAATTTTTACACGAGAAAATTTTAACAGAAATGCAAAATGTTTTTTACCGTGTATTTTTATTTTTCTTCTTTCTCTTTCTCTCTCTTTGTTTTGATATTATTGAAAAAGAAGTATAAGTATTGTAGATATTAAGTAAGTAATATAATAATAAATAATATAAATTTTCGAAAAAGGCTATTTCCAAATTAAAATTCGCGGTTGCATTTGCGCGCTATTTTCAATCAACGAATTATAACACACGAGTTATTTCATCTATGTATAATTAGTATTATGTATTTTATCATTGAATAAAGAATACCAGGAAGAAGCACGTGCGGATATGGGTGGAGCTGGAATGATTTAATTTTATGAATTCATGACGTATTATGATGTCATCGGAAGCAAAAAGACAGCGGTAAAGAATCCGCACATTTTATATGAAAAAAATGGCTTCGATTAAATTGGCTGAAATTGAAATATGTTGTAATTTAGGTGGTACTGGTGGTTATAAGTTTTCTGAGACAAGAAGTCCAAAAATCAAAGATATAAAAGGTACAATGATTTTTAAGGTGTAGTATTGATGTTTAAAAACGTCTGTTTTTGAATATGTAGATTAAATTAATACATAAATGTTTAAAAACAAATATTTTATGTATAATGTGCGTCACTTCTATAATATTTAATGATTCCAAGTCATTTCTGTTATACAGGGTGTTAAAAAAGTATCGCATACGCTTAGTGCCATCCGATAGAGAAGGAGAATTTAAGAAAAAATGTCTAATAGTATTTTTCGATCCCATGAATAATTTCGCCGCAATTAATTATTGTAATCAATTAATCAGCGCGGAGCTACAAGAGGAAGCCAGGGGCAAAGCGCACGAAGTCTGTGGCGCGACGACTAGCGCGGTAGCCGTCGTCAAAAATTTCAATTTTGATCAGCATCACTTAAACTATAATATATTTCAATTTCAGCCAATTTGACCGAAGTCACTTTTTTTATATAAAATGTGCGGGCTCCTTTCAAACGTTTATATTTAATTTGCAAATTTCTAATTTTTAACATAAATATAGGGTGTTTTATAAGTGGGCAAAATTTCAGGAATGGATTCTTCATGCTTAGAGAAGAAAAAAAAATAATCAACATAGGTCCGAAAATGATTAGTTTTTGAGTTATTATTGCATGCACACAATCAGAAAATCACGTAGCAGCTCTCTGCTTGTGTGCGTATGGATAGTGTCCTCTTCCTGTTCCTGTCATCACTATTTATCAGTTTTATTTCTAATAAGCTAAATTTAAAATAATTTATTTAATAATCTGGATTCCTTGTTGGAATTCAGAATATTAAACAGATTATTTGAAATTAGGCGGATATAAATGAGAAATAATCCATTTATTGCGTGTATTAATAATCGTCAACAAATTGTCAAATTTTGTAACCAAAAATCGTCATTTTGATTTCTTCTATTGTGATATAATTATGACGTCAAAATGACTATAATGTGTTCTTTGGGAAGGGTACAATGAGAGTGTATGTAGTTTTACTAAGTATTAATAGATTTCATTAATTTTTTCTTTTAAATTATACAACGATTCAAAAAAATACTGGAAAATATAAATATGATAATTCAGTATTTTTCAAAAATAAATAGAATTTTGAATTATTAAAAACAAGTGTTTTTATTTTTTTCTTTTTCTTTCTCTTTCTTTTAATATATTATTGAGAAATCTAATTATTGCAGATATTAAGTAAGTAAGTTAATAATAAATAATAATAAATACTATATACTCTCGAAGATGGTTATTTCCGAATTAAAATTCGCGGTTGCATCTTGGTTGCATTTGCGCGCTGTCTTCAATCGACGAATATAACACACGAGTTGTTCCATCTATGTATAATCAGTGATATGTGTTTTACGCATTTTGTGACGGATAGGTTAGTGACAAAGGAAAAAAAATTTTCTCAGTGTTTATGTATGTATCGATTTAAATTGATAAATGCGTTTCGAATATATTGGTATTAATCATCGTGAAACAATCGTAATGATAGGTTTTATTATAGTCGCGTATTTTTACGACACGTTATGCAACCGCACGTGATAGAACACTTTATAGGTTATATCCGACATGAAGGTTATGTTTGTCAATCCCTTTCGGTCCACCCTGCTTTTCTAATTTTAATCTAGGGCCAAGTGTCATCAAACATTTTTACCAAATAAGTGCCTCTTGACCAGCAATCGAGGATCATCATAAATCCATCTCGCGAAATGGCAGACGAAATCGAGAACGTCAATCAAGATTCTGCCTTAGATGGTGAGTAAACAAGAGAGAGAGAGAGAGAGAGAGAGAGAGAGAGAGAGAGAGAGAGAGAGAGAGAGAGAAAGATTACGTATGAAAATTTGTATATACATTTATTATCATTTTAATGACACACTGCATTTCATATACATGATGTCTTACTATTTCAGACATGCATTTTATGTGTCAATTTTCCTGTATACATAAGGATTTCTGTGAAGCTAGTCATTAATAAAGTTTTGGCTCTTTTCGCCTAAAAAGTAAAGGTGACGTTCCATATCGCGATTCGGGTGCGTATCGAGCGTATCAAACTCTGATCAATCACAAATGTTCCGCTTTTCAATACGCGGGAGTTTGATTTTCTACTATCCCATTGAGCGGATTATGCGGTAGCGGATTCAGTGGATTGCCAATCACGGGATTATTCTGAAAGATTACGCCGAAACAGTCTCATAATTGATAATTCGTTGATTCCGCTTCCGCGTAATCCGCTTCATGGGACAGTAGGAACCAAACTCCGGCATGAACATACGCACACAAGCATACATGCATCTATAAAGTGAAGTCTTCAAAAGTTTTTTTCCAAATAATTATTATTAATCTTAGTAATCTGATGAAATAAGATTGTTTTTTTCTATCAGAAACAAAATGAATTCCGAAACTGTGCTACTAGTCATTTTCTATATTGTAAACAAATTTAAACGAAGCTATAACATTTTTTGTCAAGAAGAATTAGGATACAAAATATTCCGAATGTATACATTGTATACAATTTTAGTAAATGAAGAAAAATCTAAAAAAAAAGCGACGATTTGGATGGGATCTATATTTACTATATATCGGCGATTATTACAAGGAGCAAGTAACAATCTTGTAAAAGAAATCGAGATTGAAGAGATAAAAGAAAATTTGTCAATTATTTTTTAATGAATCCTTTTATATTCCAAGAATTACTCAAATTAATCGGTCCTTTCATTGTTAAACAATATGTGGTTCGAGATCCAATTCCTCCTGAAATGCGTTTACATCTCAGCGATTTGCTCGAATAACACAAGCCTGCAAAAAAGGGGGTCAAAATTTCTTTTTAAGATGCAATAGTGATTTTTGACGTAATTTTGTGCGCTGAATCCAAATCTGGCCGCCGAATTTGCGTAGCACGTCAGGTTTTTGAGTTATTTGTAGTTGAATAACCCAAAAATCGCTATTTTGGCCAATTTCATGAATTTATTGTAAACCAAATTTTTTGAAATATTTCTGTTAATGGCATCGTATAGTACTCACTTTCATCTTTTGAATCCACTTTCGATTACCGCCACACGATTTTTTTTCGCTCAGATGTACAAGTTATAAGACTGGTTATGCATAGGGATTTAATAAGCCATTCTAAATCAACCGTGCCATCTCTCTATCTCACTACGAATCAAAATTAGGGTAAAAATATACATTTTTAAATACCTTCTGTCACCTTTTGAAATTAAAAATGGTGTCTCCAATATGACGAATAGAATCACAATAAAAAGGCATAAAATTTAGAAAAATTTATCAAAATGTGTTAACAACTGTATTAGACATTTCTTTACAATATTTTTTTAGCTAACCGAACCTGACATATGTCAGTCTTTTCAAATTTCAAGATCATGGATCTACCATATTGAGGCCTATATAAATTTTCTTTAACGTAAATTTTCTTACAACGTCATACTTATATATCTCAGCGAACAAAAATCGTGCAGCGGTAATCGAAAGTGAATTTGAAAAGCAAAAGTGAGTATTATACGATGCCATTGGCAGAAATATTTCAAAAAATTTGGTTTCCTCGCAATAAATTCATGAAATTGACCAAAATAGCGATTTTTGAGCCATTCAATTACAAATTATTCAAAAACGTGACGTGCTACGCAAATTCGGCGGCCAGATTCGAATTCAGCTCACAAAATTACGTCGGAAATCACTATTGCACCTTAAAAAAAAACCTCGTAGACCTGTGTAATGAATTCAGCGGATCATCAGCGTATCAAAAACGACGGATCGTCTGTCATTGGTCCGAGCTCGATATGCCCGATACGTGCTGAAACGTCACCCTAATGGTGCGGTCCCATGATACGGAACGTATGCGCAATGCGGAATTGGCGGAACGCTCGTGATTGGTTTAACCTGTTTTACGTCTGTTCCGCCGATTTCTATCCGCAAGTTTCTATTTTATACACATTTTGTGCGGAACTTCGAAATTGTGTGTATGATGAAAAATGTCGAAACAGCAGATATCCGTAAGAATATTATTAAAAAATATTTTAAATAAGAGTATAACAAGGAATGGTCCAACTAATGCTAATAATGCGTCAAATAATTGAGGTGCCATTCTAAAATAATCCATATATTTTTCTGTGTCTTCGATCAGCATTTCCTTTACAAGATTCTCACTTGCTCCTTGTTGGAATCTTCTTTCTAAGCTGAATATAGGTCGCACCCAATATTTTCGTCGTTTTTTAATATTTTCATTTCTTTTTACAATTATATACAATGAATATAATTTTATAATCTTACGGCGTAATTCATTCTTTTTAAATATACACCAACTTTGTTTTAATTTACTTAACAATCCACAAATAATAAACAATTTTTCAGAATCCATATTCAATATTAAGTTGTTGTCAGTTTTGAAGGTTATATATGAAATTCATGAATTTTTTGACATATATATGTGAATCCGATCCGCATAAATTTGTATTTCCTATGTCCCATGCAGCGGAAAATACAGAAGCGTAATTTGCGCGAGCCAATAATGTACGCTGTTCCGATATAGACAACAAAAAAATCTATGGGAAAGAATCTTGTGATTGGCCAACACCAATTGCGCTTCCGCGTTTTCCGCTCCATGGGACATAAGAAAATATATTTCAACGGAACGCAATTGACGGAATATCTGTGATTGGACGAACTTCGTTCCGCCAATTCCGCATTGCGCATACGTTCCGTATCATGGGACCGCACCATAAGGGCTCCGCGTGGTGGAAGCGCGATAGCCAATACAAAAATTGGATTGAGTTCAACTTTGACGCGCGATGGATGTTATATATCTGCTGATTGGCTACCGCGTCGGCTTCCGCCACGCGGCAAGTGTTGCCGCGTCCTGTGTGCAGGAGCCCTAAGGGCCTCTGCACAAGGTGTTCCGTAACACATTACGTTATGTTAAGTATTGATCGTAAACTTAACTCCGTACGTAAATTTAAACTTCAGTCAACGCATAGAAAAAATCATAACGTAAAGACAGTAGAACGAATTAGAAATATTATATATATAAGGTAAATATAGGACATTTTGTATAAAATAAGGGATTTGTAAATATTTCTTATATATAAGAAATATTTATAAGTCTTGTTTTATACAAAATGCGATATACTTACCTTATATATAATGATATTTCAGTTCTACTGTCTTTACGATTTTTTCTGTGTGTTGACTGAAGTTTAAGTTTACGTACGGAATTAAATTTACGATCAATACTTAACGTAACGTAATGCGTTACGGAACACCTTGTGCGGAGGCCCTAACTCTCGAGTTCCTGATAACAATAAATCCTATTAATTAAATATTGACTAAAAAATAGAAGTCTGAAGATGTGAAGTATTAATTTCATGTTTAAAAAGAATTTGCAACTTTTTTTATTTAAAGATTTTAGAAGAATTTGAGTTCTAATATTTTTCGATAAAACTCTTAAGATACTATTTAGAAATTTACAAAAATATACCTAAAAAAACTTGATTCAAAAAATGAAAAATGGCAAAAACTTTTTAATTTCGATTTTATACTGATTCAAGCCTGAAGAATAATCATTAAAATTATTAATATAATAATCTAAAATTTCGAAGAAATAATTTGATTTCTTTGAAAAATCTTTTATTTATGGGAGTTATTTTTATTAATAACAAAAATCTTTATTAATAACAAAAAATTATGAGAATATTATAAGTTTCGATTTTATCGGACCAGAATCTTAAAAATAATTATTAAAATTTTTGGGGAGCTATTTAGAATTCCGAAGAATTTATTTGATTTTCGAGAGAATAATCTTTCATTTATAAAAAATTTTTATCCGAAAAAATGGCGCAAATTCTTTCAATTTCGGTTTTATTAATTCGAATCTTCAAAAAAATTATTAAAATTTCAGACAATTATCCAGGATTTCAAATAAACTGTTTTCAATTGATGAAGAGAAAGAATTTTCACAATTTTTCAACTCTTAAAAATTTTTCAAATTTATCTAGAAAATCGGAGAATTTCTTCAGGATTCCAGAATAGAAATGAATTGAAAGTGAAAGTCTTAGCGATTATTCGTTGCTAGAATTGCAGTTAAAAAAATTTTTTTAGAAATTATTTTTTTCCTAAAATTCTAAATAGCATAAAAAGAGTTTTATTGAAAAATATCGCGACTCAAATTAATTTCTATTGAAATAAAAAAGTTGTAGTCAATTTTCGTGCTACGGAAACGTGAAATTGAGGTATTTTATAAATGCTTCACACCCAGATAGACATATGTCAGCATATTGCCTGCATAATGACAAAATTTTAAAATTGAATTAAAATTGAAAATGCTTGCATAAACATTGAAAGATGCGTCCTCATATGACATGAGTGTTATCAGCAAGTGAAAGAGATCTTCTGATGCTGCAAAAATTGCGACAATATGTTGCTTATTTTGCCAAAAATAGAATGCAATTAATCCGACATTATTGGAGCAATAAGAAATGAATATCCGTTTTCATCTATGGACACAACCATAAGATAATCTTCCTACCGTGTTTAAAATCCATTAATATGTTTACTGCGTACAGCATCCGCTTACTTTCCGATAATTAACATGCGCTGAAGATGACTTAAATATAAGTCGAAACGTCCGCTCTTAAATTGTCTTAATGTCTATGTATTATTAAAACGAATTTTTTAACCTTTTATTGTTTACTTTTATTTAATTTGTATAATTACGGACTAATAATGATCTCCAGCTCTCTATGCCTGTTTGAATGTTTTTAATTTAAGAAATGAATATATTTACAAAATTATTTTTGATTAAGGTAAATGGCTATAACTTCGTCAGCGGATATAATTTGGTCAAGCCTTCTTAAAATTAAATAAATTAAGCGTATCTTACGTATATCGACTATATTTTCCGATTTGAAACCGATGTTCAAATTGTTTCAAATCGGGAAATATAGTCGGTATACGCGAGATTGCTTCATTTATTTATTTAATTTTAAGAAGACTTGACGAAATTATAGTTATACTATTTATCTTACGTATAAATGGATGGCATTATGTATTCTTTATAATATATAAAACATTTGGCCCAACAAAATTAAATAATAATATAATTTATCTATTTTATACAAAAATTTTATACAAAAATTTTAATATTTTACATAAAAATTTTATTTATATTTATACTTGCGTATTGCACTTTACATCTTAAATAGATAACGAATTATTTTCATTTATTTGCCGGACATTTATTTGTCCGACTTATAAAATCAACTTAATATCTGAAGCATTGAGATCAGAAATTAAATTGAACAGTATATCTTTAATGTTATTTGTTACTCTTTGCAAACTTTATATAATTCTTCTAACTAAAACTTAAATACGAGAATGATAGCGCATCGCACGTCGCGTAGAGATAAACGAACGAACTAATACATTTTGCGTGTGCATTTTGTGCACGCACAAATTTATTTCTAATGCCTAAAATATAACTGAATTGTAATATGCAATATTTTATGTCAATAAAATGCTGTGTATTTCTAAATGACAATACAAAATTAAAATAACATAAGAACGCAACTACCTCATAAATACATTACAATGCAATAATACTAAATTAACATTCGTCAAATAGCTTGCTTCAATTATTACTCCTACAAATAATACAATTACAACATAATTTTATATTAGAAACATTTTCTATAATGATTGCAGTTGTGCGTTTATAGCAAAGTGCAGCATATTGCTATATTGTGAAATACACAAATATATGATAATAATATGACATAATAATGCCTACATTTAAAGTTACTTGTAATTTTATGCTGTTCTAATTGCATCAGTATACATAAAATGTTTGCATGCTATGTTCAGCATATCTGTCTATCTGGGGCAAACGCTTTTTCAGATTCTTATTTTTGTATGTGTATTTAATCGATAGAACTCTTTTTAAAACCTTGGAAATTCTAAATTTTTTGGGGAAAAAGCCAAATTCTATTAATTATAGCGAAATGTTGGAGATAGATGTTAACTTTACAGAAGATAGGATATTTTAAGATAGTAAAACAAAGCATAAAAGAATTTGATCATATTTATTGTCAATATCATTTTTTGATCTCTTCCATTAGTAGAAAAGTTACATCACTTCTGGCCATCACACATAAAATTCCATAAGCACGTAAAACATAAGCGTAAAAAAATCGACCAACCAATATTGACCCCTCCAAGAAGCCAATACTCAACCGTGATTGGCCGATTTTCTTACGCTTACGTTTTATGTGCTTATGGAATTTTATGTGTGATGGCCATTACGGAAAATATTACAATAAAAATACACATATTACAATCTTGCTAATGATCCATAAATCACGGAGTGACAAGATTCAAGAGAAATGAAATATTTAGAAATTGATATGCATTGACTGATCAATTCAGTTTCTGATTCTAAATTTCTAATAACTACAATATACTTGATACATATAAACAAATGTTTATAGATTTTTTGATTAGTTAAATATTAATATTGTCAATGGTTTTCCAACGAGACAGATATGAAAATGGATTCCTCATTTGAAAATTCGTTCTTGTATCATTATATATTTCATATAAAAATAATATCCCATGTGCGAAATTATTCTAAGGACATACCCTTCTTATCATATTCAACAATTTTCGTTTTTACGACACGTACATAGTACGATCCACAGTCTATTCCTGCTGTGGGAGTTGAGATTCGCAATTGTGCGAGTTTATTCCTTAAAATTTAAAACATCAAATATCTTTGGAAAAAGTTTAAAAGTAAATATCTATAAAGAGATCGAATCTTTGTGATGAGAATATTCGGCGTTGTTATGTGCGAGTAGTAATCTCTTATCGTTGTAGAAACATGCGTTCGATAGAACACAAAAATATAAATAAATATCGGAAGGCTGTACTGACTACCGAGTACCTTGAGTACTGTTATTTGCCCACTCGGGGAACTCCGATAGATTGAATACATACGATCCCCACATGGAGAATGCTCCCACAGTAATGACGAGTGTAATGATGCTGGGTCCAATACCGGCGATCATAAAGTCCTTTGTTTTTATATGACCTGCGGCACTGGCGATCGCGTTCGGTGGGGTGCCTACCGGTAGATGAAATGAGAACGAACAGCAGATAGCTGCCGGCAGCATCAGATACAAAGGATGTATTGTGATGGCTATACACTGAAAAGAAAAAAAAGAGAGTAAATTTCTATAAAAATATCTTTCGGTAATCTAAACATATATTATGTATCTAGAGCAACAAATTCGGACATTTTAAAAAACGAAATAATAGTAGCAATTTTATTGTGTCAATATACTTTACTTTTGTAGGCAAATTAGCACTGCTATCCGTTCAATTTTTTTAACTTAATTGTTGATCAACAAATTCGATATTATATATTCTTATTGTTAGAGTAACACACAAATTAAGGAAGCATTTTAAGACCAAAATAATATATAGCAGCAATTAATTTCGTTAATATACTTGTATTGTTAATATACTTACTCTTGTAGACAAGGTGGCACGGCCACTCGTTTATGTTTTTATTAAATTAAATTATAAGCAATAAATTAGGAAATGATTTATTTTGGGAATATTTAATGCAGGAAACAATATATTCTAACGAACTGATATTGTTAGCCACTTTTTTTAATGATTTTATTTTTATATGTGTGTAATATGTCATGATAGTGTACTTTTAAAAATTTAATATTTTTAAAATTTATTTGTATCTTTGAGCAACTAATTAGCAACAAATTCTAGTGTATTTGTTTTTTATTTGCGATTCTTTATAAGAATTTTTCGGAAGTAGAGGTGCTAATTTAATGATAAGCTAGTATCCTCATCCTTAATATAATTTTTCCTGCTAATGGATAGAAGCAACAAATTTGTGCTTAGCAACACATTAGCACTTAATTTTGCATTATATCTGAATTTGATTTTTTTTTAAGGGGGTGTTAGATTAATAGGGGTCTTTTAAAAAGTTTCCTTATTTTAAGTATTTATTATTAAATTTTATTAAATTTATTTAATTTTATTAAATTTTATTCACTTAGAGATTTCAATATGTAAATATATATCAGAGAGGGGGAAGGCGGAGAAGAAGAGAGAGAGGGAAAGGGGGGGGAGAGAGAAAATTTTATCATCTATTTCAAAGTTTATAAGTTAATGTCAAAGTTTATGGAATTGAAATATGGATTCACGATTTTTGTTTTCTTGCAATACTCATTGTCAGATATTGTCCGTGAATTGTACATTATACTACAATAAAAATATAATAATAAGTAATAAAATACTATATAAAATAAGTAAAAAAAATATTGAGGACTAAGAAATGTGTTAAAGAATATTACGTGCATAATATCGTGAATAATATACAAAATTCTGTAAAAATATTGATATATTATATATAGATTTTTTGCTACCATAAATCAAGGTCATGTAAATCGAAATTCTACATTTTTTGGATAAAATCTATGTCAATGGTAAAAAATATTTTCCGGAAAAAATGTAACAAAATTAGTCGTTTTTATTAAAACTGTTAAAAAACTTTTTTATCTTATATTTTATATTCATCAATTGAGAGAATATTTTTTAAGCTTTATTCAAAACGAAATCCGTAATAAATTAGAAACTATCAACTAACAAATGATTTATTGTTTTAAAAGAAGGTGTTGAAGGTGACCTATCTATATAATCTATATATCTACATAAATTGGTAAAAATTTTTATATATAATTCTGCTGCTATTATCTTTTTTCTTATTAAACTAAAAATTAATATAAAATTTAGTAACATGTTATGTTTTTAGCTTATTTTAAAAACTTTGCATAATAATTTGAATTAAAAAAGACTATTATATTGATTTCATTTTCTTAAACTATAGTGATTAGTATGATTTATTAATTAAAGCAGAAAAATATTAATTATAATTAATATTAATTAGAATTTTTTTAAAAATTATTTAAATATATTTTAACCAGTTCACTGGTAATGGCCCATATATATTCACTATAAATAACTTTACCAATTTTCAACGGATTTGCATGAAACTTGATACACCCACATTTTTCGGGTCGCTGATGACAAATTTGGGATCGAAATTTTAAAATTTAAAATGGCGGATTTAGTACGGTGAATTAATTTTGTTATTCTATTATATTATTATATTTGTTATTCCATTAGAGAAGACTCAAATTCGATATGTTTAAGTTTGAATGTCTTGAACTAATCCGTTATTTATGACTAAAAAACGTACCGAGTGTGATATATTTTCATAATGAAATATATAATAATATAATAATATAATACATATTAGGAGTACAAATAAGTCTCCGCCGTTTGACAAAAGATGGCCTCACCAGTAAGTTATGGTTGAAATTGTCAGATGTAAAATGTCATATCGTAAGGTTGGACATCTGGCAACACCATAACCTTGAAATATTAGCGATTTTGTATTAGCATCACATAATTTTTTTCGTGCGAAAATGTCGAGTTTTGAGCCGAATAAGCGTCATTTGCGGGAACTTTTGATTTACTTCTTTAATTTGAAGAAATCTGCAGCTGAGGCGCATCAATTGCTTGTAGAAGCATATGGTAAGGCTGCTTTAAGTAAGAGAAGTTGTGGTGAGTGGTTTCATAAGTTTAAGAACGGTGAGTTTGTTGACGTCGAAGACAAAGAACGTAGTGGAAGACCGAAAGTGTACGAAGACGCAGAATTGGAAGCATTATTGGAGGAAGATTCGTGCCAAACGCAAGAAGAACTTGCACTTACATTAGGAGTGATTCAACAAGCAATTTCACAATTTCGTTTAAAATCGTTGGAAATGATTCAAAAGCAAGGAAATTGAGTTCCATATGAACTGAAGCCGAGAAACGTTGAACGCCGATTTTGCACATGTGAAATGCTGCTTGCCAGGCATAAACGAAAGGGTTTTTTGCATCGTATAGTCACTGGTGATGAAAAATGGATCCACTACGATAACCCAAAGAAGAGAAAATCATGGGGACCACGTGGCCATGCTTCAACATCGACAGCCAAGGCGAATATTCATGAAAAAAAACTCATGTTGTGTATTTGGTGGGTATCAGCTTGGTGTTGTGTATTATGAGTTGCTCAAACCGAACGAAATCATTACTGGGACTCTCTACCGAACACAATTGATGAGATTGAGCCGAGCACTCAAGGAAAAACACGCCCACTACTACTCCAGACACGACAAAATTATTCTTCTGCATGATAATGCTCGTCCACATGTTGCGGCGCCGGTCAAAACCTACTTCGAAACACTCAATTGGGAAGTCCTATCCCACCCGCCGTATTCATCAGACATTGCCCCTTCGGATTGTGCTGCTCAGACAGGCCATGTGCCATCGATCGGATCACTTGTTCCGATCGATGGCACATGGCCTGTCTGAGCAGCACTTCACATCATATGAAGATACCAAAAATTGGGTCGATTCGTGGATAGCCTCAAAAAATGAAGAGTTCTTCCGACGCGGTATCCGTATGCTGCCAGAAAGATGGGAAAAAGTAGTGGCTAGCGATGGACAATACTTTGAATAAAACATAAGGTACCGTTCTTTCACAATAAATGCTCAATTTTTGATAAAAAACGGCGTAGACTTATTTGTACTCCTAATATATTAATAATATATATATAATTATAATATATATAATTATATATATAATCATTATGGAGAAGATTAAATTCGATATATATATATATATATATATATATATATATATATACACATTTCGCAAAAATTAAGGGAACAAAAAAAAATTCCAAATTTTTTAGTAATTTTTGACAGGCTGTAAGTCAGTGAAAAATGGTCATATCGACAATCTAAAAAAAGCAATCTGAAGCTTGAAGATTCTACTTTTTAGATCTTGCAGTCAAAAATTTCTACAAGTCGCAGTTCCCGTGCAATCCTTCAATAAAGCACGGAAAAAAATTTTTGCAAATTTTACACATTTTATTTTTCAGTCCACGGGCATGAAAAAATTTTTTCGAGCTTAGCCAATGCATGAATCAAATAGCCTGTTTATTCGGCTTCAATTTGGTTTTTTTAAAATTTGGATACGATCTTTTGTCTCCGAGATATTGAATTTTGAATCCAAAAGGATCCTTTTTTGTTCAACCGCCAATATCTCGGCAGCCATTGGTCGTACAGCAAATTTAAGGGCAGTTTTGAAATCTGGAATAAATTTCCTACAAGATTCTGTCATGATTTTCTGGAAAAAAAAAATTTTCTTTTTCTACACGTTAACATGAAGAAAGTAACGAAAAGTAACTTTTTCCCTTGTTTTGGAAAATCGACTGTATCTTTGTTCGTACTGGCAACAAAGCTAGGGTTTGAAGGTCATTTTACAGCTAAATGTGCCATTAATAACCCTGTAAATTTTCAGACCGATCCACTGAACCGTTTTTCTGGACCGATTGATCGAAATTTCGAAAAAAATTAAAGGAACAAGGTTTTTGTTGCTAAACTTAGCGTAATCTTCTTAGAAATGAAATATCATATTTTCACGACTGTTTACACAATTCTTCGTCCATAATAGATTAATTTGGAAAAACAAACAAAAAAAAATTTTTTTCGAAAAATTTTTGAAAAATTTTTTTTTTTGATAATTCAAAAAATTGAGAAAAAAATACTCATTCATTTTGAAAACAGTAGACTCAATTTGTACCTCGATTTCCGTTTTTAAAATTTAATTGCACTAATTAAAGTTGATACCCCTAAGATGTACCCAATACTCTTTCTACGAAATTTCGTGCAATAAATGTCTGAAGTCCTTAGCAAAGCTCAAAAGTGTTAAAAAAACAGTTTCTCTGAAAACTTGGCGACTTTTTTGTCAAAGAAAACCATTTAACAGTTTTTTTCAAAACTAACCTTTTTTTATAAACTTATTGAAAAAATCAAATTTTCTGTAACCATCAATTCTCTCACCATGCCCCGGCAGCATTTATCTGCCCCACAAGTCGCTCAGCTTGTGACTCTTGTTCAAGAGGGTTACACATATCGGCAGGTTGGTGAACGATTTGGCGTTAGTCCTTCAGTTGTGTCCCGTGCCTATAACCGATACCTTGAAACAGATGGGTATGAGCGACGCGCTGGACAAGGTCGACATCGGGTAACAACTCGTCGGGACGATCGGGCAATCATCCTTGAAGCTCGTCGAGAACCTTTTGTTCCAGCTAACATCATCGCTCAACAATTCCCGAACCGTCAACAGCAACAACAACAACGACGACGACGACGACGGCTACGAAACGTTTCTCGATCAACGATTAAGAATCGTCTCCGGGAAGCTGGATTGCGTGCCAGGACAGCTGCTCGTGGACCGATGATGAACGTTAGACATTGTAGAGCTCGTCTAGCGTACGCTCGCGAACATGTTAACTGGCGCATGAGGGATTGGGATAACGTTCTTTTCTCTGACGAATCTCGATTTTGTTTGTACGGTAACGATAGAAGACCTCGAGTTTGGCGTCGTCAGAGAGAGCGTTATTCACAAAACTTTATTCGTCCTGTGGCCGCCTACAATGGAGGATCAGTAATGGTTTGGGCAGGAGTTTCACGAACATCTCGGACTCCTTTGGTTATTGTCCGCGATAACCTTAATGCTAGGCGTTACATCGACCAGATCTTACGACCTTATGTGGTCCCTTTACGGCGGAACAGGAGAAGATTTATCTTCATGCAGGATAATGCTCGCCCTCATACAGCGAACATAACCCGTCAATTTTTCCAGAGAAATGACATCACGTTATTAAGGCATCCTGCGATGAGCCCTGATCTCAATCCCATTGAGCACGTTTGGGATATTTTGGTCGATTGCGTCAAAACTACCCGATTTTAAACAATTTAGCCGCATTGGAGCGCGCTTTAATCACAATTTGACGTAGGATTCCACAGCGGATGATTCGCAATTACATTTCGAATATGCCTGACAGGTTGCGAGCTGTGATTCGGAATAGAGGCGGGAACACTCGATACTAAACACGACAAACACTTTTAGGAAATGAGTTTGGAGTCTTTAAATACTGTGGAGCTGACGAACCACAGGGTCTCATTACTCCTAAAGATTCACACAAACACACACACACACACACACACTTTGGAGAATGAGTTTGGAGTCGTTAAATACTGTGGAGCTGACGAACCACGGGGTCTCATTACTCCTAAAGATTCATTTATACACGTGCATAAGCACAAAAGAAGCATAAATCCGACCAGATAGATGCAACCTCCACGTGGTATGTTTTGGGTAACGCTAATGCCGGCGGTCAGGAATCGACGTTATTTCCGAAAAGTATCGTTTTTTTCTGCTTTGAAAGAAAACTTGGAAAAAAAAATTTGAAAAAAAACAAAAATTTTTTTTGAAAATTTTTCAAAAATTTTTCGAAAAAAAATTTTTTTTTTGTTTTTTTTCCAAATTAACCTGTAATGGACGAAGAATTGTGTAAACAGTCGTGAAAAAATGAATTTTTTCATTTCTAAGAAGATTACGCTAAGTTTAGCAACAAAAACCTTGTTCCTTTAATTTTTTTCGAAATTTCGATCAATCGGTCCAGAAAAACGGTTCAGTGGATCGGTCTGAAAATTTACAGGGTTATTAATGGCACATTTAGCTGTAAAATGACCTTCAAACCCTAGCTTTGTTGCCAGTATGAACAAAGATACAGTCGATTTTCCAAAACAAGGGAAAAAGTTACTTTTCGTTACTTTCTTCATGTTAACGTGTAGAAAAAGAAAATTTTTTTTTCCAGAAAATCATGACAGAATCTTGTAGGAAATTTATTCCAGATTTCAAAATTGCCCTTAAATTTGCTGTACGACCAATGGCTGCCGAGATATTGGCGGTTGAACAAAAAAGGATCCTTTTGGATTCAAAATTCAATATCTCGGAGACAAAAGGTCGTATCCAAATTTTAAAAAAACCAAATTGAAGCCGAATAAACAGGCTATTTGATTCATGCATTGGCTAAGCTTGAAAAAATTTTTTCATGCCCGTGGACTGAAAAATAAAATGTGTAAAATTTGCAAAAATTTTTTTCCGTGCTTTATTGAAGGATTGCACGGGAACTGCGACTTGTAGAAATTTTTGACTGCAAGATCTAAAAAGTAGAATCTTCAAGCTTCCGATTGCTTTTTTTAGATTGCTGATATGACCATTTTTCACTGACTTACAGCCTGTCAAAAATTACTAAAAAATTTGGAATTTTTTTTTGTTCCCTTAATTTTTGCGAAAAGTGTATATATATCGAATTTGATCTTCTCCATAATGAAATAAAATTAGTTTGCCATATTGGATTCGCCATTTTGAATTTTGAAATTTCGACCCTTGATTCGTTACTAGCGATGCAAAAAACCTCTTATAGATAAACTTTCATGTAAAATACGAATTTATTTGCTCTCACCAGTTTTGGCACAAAACGTTAATTTCGAGTGTACCAGTGGTTAATATCATATATATTATTAATTATTTCTACAGTTTTTGTCAGTTTATTTCATTGGATAAAGCCCAGTACAGTAAAAACTGAAGTTTACCATGGTTTTTTCTATTAACTGGACTTTTCTGATTAACTCTGATATAATTTTTTTTATAATATAGAAGATATTGATTATTTACGAAATATTTTTTTATTGCTGACTTTGTTTGACTCACCATTTCTGCTAATACTGGTAGTATAATATTCGCGACAGCCACGTTAGCTGTCAATTCCGTCACATTCTCAGCAAAGAAGCAGACGATCAGCAATATCGCCAATTTATTGATCTTCTGCAAACCAGTTAAGGACTGACCAAGCATCGCTGATAAACCCGATGTAGTACTACCTGCGGAGATGGCGAATCCACCGCCTAGTACAAATATCAGGCTCCAGTGCATTTTTTGGTTGATCATCTTCCATGTTATCAGGCCAGGAGATGGTTTCGTAGGCCGTTTATGTGGATTTTTGTCAAACGCATGCAGAAAGTCGAGCTTTGATGGAATGATGAAGAACAATATCGTCACGCACATGGCCGCTGTTGAATCCTTGACACGCCTACAAATTTTGAAGTTGCAATTATTTAATATTTCTCTACTAATTTATTATCTTTCCTTTTTATTATTATATTTTTATTATTTTTATTATATTTGTAAGGTTTCTCTAAAGCCAAAATTGTAAAATTACAAATCTTTGATTTTTAAAATTATAAATCTTTTTCTTACTTTGAGAAATGCGAGAAAAAATAACAAAAAAATTTTCAATTATTTTATGATTTTTCAATTATACTAATACTCACAAATTCGTGATATAAGCAGCCCAGCCTGGCATGAATCCGGGGCTCCTGAAGAACCATAGGAGCACCACGAGAATAAATAAAATACCCACTGAGGATTCATGCCATGTAATCGATCCGAGTTCCTTGTATCTCTTTTCGATGACCTTCGTCGCGACACGCTCACCCTGCTGACCGATGTCTATAGCGCGGGCATCCTTGCTCTTTGGCCTAAAGAGACCCATGTACATCACTTGCAGCCACAACCATGTGAGAAAGCTCATTAGCAGCATAGGTGGTACTGAGTATAACATCCAGGCAGCGAAATTTATGCCGGGGCTGTTGGGAAAACGTCTGAAAAAAACGAAAGCAAAGCTTACATTTCCCTCAAAGTGGCACTTAAATTTTAAAAGAGATAGAGTGAAAATTCGACAGAAAAAGGAAACATTTAACTCTTATATTAATATACATATATACTAAAAAGAGAGAGAATATTTTATATATATATATATGCAGGGTGTCCCAGACCACCTATACATCCCTTTTAAAATGAAAATAAATGGCTTTTATAAAAAATCGCGAACAATTTTTAAATAAATGGTGATATTTTCAACTTTTGGTTCCGACCCGAAATACGCTATCCGGATCGAAAGTTGAATTTTTTTAGGGGAATATGATATTTTTTATTACAGATTCGAATTGTACGTGAAAAAATAAGAATTGTATCAAACGGTTTTACACACATCCTTGTCATTAGTTGCGTCACAGGAACATTTGAAGTTCATTATTTCATCACAGTTACTTTCAAGGTTAATTTTAAGATTGACAGAGGCACTTTCAGAAAAAACGTGTGATACAAAAGTTTCTTATTTTTTCACGTACAATTCGAATCTATAATAAAAAGTACCATGTTCATCTAAAAAAATTCAATTTCCGAAACAAAAGTAAAATATCATTTGATAGAGCGTACCCGATTTACTTAAAAATTGTTCGCGAGTTTTTATAAAAGCCATTTATTTTTATTTTAAAAGGGATGTACGGGTGATTTGGGACACCCTATATATATATATATATATATATATATATATATATAATATTTTATCTCTTTTTTAATGTACACATAAGTGTAATATAAATATTTTAAGATACGTTGTAAATTATTTGACACACTTATTCGATTTTCGATGTACGTACTTTTCTAGAAAGCCTTTCAAAGTTAAGTTGGTGCCGCTGCCAACAATGGTACCGATGCCACCTAGACTGGATGCATAAGCCGCGACGAGATAATACACCATGGTGCTGTGCGTCGGTCTTTTATTTCTAAAAAAAAGTTTGCGTTTGAATGAAATATATATGATTGCGAGGAATTTTATTTATGAATATTTTTGATATTAATATTTATAAATCAAATATATTTAGAAAATGAGAGAGATGAAGAAAAAGAAAAGAGATGAATATGCGATTGTTTACGTTTCCGTGCCTTCCTCGACTGCATTCTCTCTTTGGATGAACATATTCCCGAGTCCTTGCTGAAGTGAATTTATAAAATTATTCTCTTTTGCGTTTCATTAAAAGAAAATGAAAACTCACCGCTTCAAGTTCTATTAGAACCGTTTCTATTATGGGTATCATCATGGCTGTGGCAGCGGTATTCGAGATCCACATCGAGATAAACATTGTCACGAAAAACAGACCTAATGTTAGCCTGAGAATTTATTTAAAATTAATTAATTGCTTCATTTAATTAAGAATCCTTATTTATTAAAAAATTAAATTTTGAAATTTTTAATCAAGAAAAAATAAGTGAATAAATATTATCTCTAGAATTATTAAAAATAATTTCATATTATATTTTGCCTTATACTCGTTACTAAATCAAAATAACGAAAATGACACATTCTACAATATTTTTGAGGGCTCAATATTCGGAAAACGAGTTTTACGGAGTTTACTAATGAGCTTGAGAAATTAAACAGTTTCCGCATGATTTAATTAACGAAAAACACCTTCGATGACTACAACCGACAGTCTTGATGATGAGTAGTGCTATTCGCATGTGCAAACCAGAGTTCTCGATGACCACTGCAATTACCAAACTGCCCAGAAACATCATCGTGGTATCGTTCATATAGCACTCGCAGGTCTCATTGGTGGACATGATGCCCATCAGTGGATACAGGACCACCGGGATCATGCCCGTAACGGGCAATGGTAAGACTTCAGTCACCCAGAACATCGCCATCAACGCAACAACATATAAACATTTCATCGCTAGAGGCTGCCTCCGGAAAAAGGGAGAATGATAATTAAATCTTTTGAGATTCTCTCGGTTCTAACAAATTAAAGTAATAATTTGCACATACAATTCTTTTTTTTTAATATAATATTGCGTACCTATACGCTCGGTTTATCTTTAATTAAACGCGAGTTATATAACACTTGTCAACAAAAAAAATAATTTTAACTTTTTCCTCTTATAATTTTGCAGTTTTGGACTTATTTAAGTGTGCTGATTTCGAGTACGACAGTAGTTTTTTTTAACAACTTTTGTTTTTTAATATTTTTAGACTACACCCTTTAGATATTACGTGCAGTTTTTGTTTTGAGTTTTACTCGACTCAAAATTATTAGTTTTTTAACTTTCGATATGTCTTCAACTCGGAGACGTTGTTTACATAATCCAGATAGTTTTTGTTATATTTGTGGCGAATACATCTTTCAAAAATATCGAAAACCTATTTCAGAATTTGTTAATTGTAATATCTTATAAATAAAAAAAGTAGAGCTGATACAATTAAACTAGTATTTTTTTCATAATCAGTGCCTTAGATATAACCTATAATACATGTTAAATGTCAGGAAAAAATTTGAGTATTGACCAATGTAATCAATGAACATACCTTTTCACTCTCGAGTGTCAGTATCGGGATCAGAATTAATGGCCATATTATTACGACAAAAGATCGCCAATAAATGGCTAAGAACTTTAGTAATAATCTGCCAAATCCTATAGTTTTTCTAAAATTATAAAAAAAATGTTGAAGTATTAGATATTAGAATAAGCATTAGATATTAAAGATACAATCATGCCTCACCCTCTTTCTTTTTCCTTTCCTCCGGACTCAGTAATCTCCGGGTATGGATCTTCCGATCTGTTGGCCATTGTCTCTTACTGAAATTAAATTGCAAAAGTCTTAAAATATATTTTTAATACTGTTTTTCCCCTTGCTTCTTCTTTTCTCTCTCTCCTCCCTTTCTCTACACACATACACACACACAGTGTGCAATTTTAATTGTTCTAAGCAAATATATCGAGAAATATTGGAGATACAGAAAAATTTTTAGATAAAAGACGATGGGTAAAACACCTGATTTCGTAGCGATGGAACCTTCTTTATGCATGTTTTCTTACATTTTTTGATGTGTTAAATGATTATCAAAATTTAATTAATTTCAAGCTGATCTAATGGGAAAATAGCGAAAATTACATTCAAAGTAGCAGATTTGTAAAAATTTGAACAAAGCCAAACAGCACCAAGTCGACTGTTAGTTGACTATCAGTCGGCAGAAAAAGTCAACTTCAAAATCAGATTGAACTTATGTCAACTTATAGTCGATTGTTAGTTGACTGTCAGTCGGCAGAAGAAGTCAACTTCAAAATCAGATTGAACTTATGTCAACTTATAGTCGACTAATGAATAGCTCGACTATAGTCGGCTAATTAGTCAGCTAATAAATCAACTTAAAAATCGATTTTATATAAGTTAATTTTCAATCAGTTTAATGTCATCTATATGATTCACTCGGTGTGTAATAGTTTTGAAACATTGCAATATTTCATTTAAAATATTAGCAATATTATAAAAATATCACGATTATTTCTACAATGTTTCAATGTAATTATTTCAAATGAGAGAGAGAGAGAGAGAGAGAGAGAGAGATTTAATTTAATTTAATTTTAATTATATTTTTCTATATTTCCTCCACAATACATTTTTGTTACTATATATATTTTTTTTTACTATTTTTTATTTTAATAATTTTTCCGTTCAGTTATTCGGCGATAATAATCATGATATGCCGACTCATTAAAGCTCAAGCACAAAAGGCTTGAATCGGATCGAGGACCCCGCGGCATTGTTCTCTCATGGCCTTCGCGATGTTTGCATATGTATGCAACCACAACGTCGTTTCCGTTTATGCGACGCAGGTTATGCGGCTGTCTCTCCTCGTAAGCGTTTAATCGAGGTGATACAGTGTCATCCATCCAGATTCTCTTTCATGGTCATTTAACCCTGCGCCATTTACATTAATAATAATATATGACGTCGTTCCGGGGGTCATGTGTTTTATTGTGGATGTCTTTGATTATTGTGCACTAAAATTGAACATTTAGGGGTACATGTTATGCGATATCGAAAATATACTAGCGCACGTTGAATATATGTTTACAGATTTTTCAACCACGCTGTGAAAAATTAGATACATAAAATATTATTAACACGATAAAACAGTATGCGATATATTTTATTTTTCTCCACAATTTGGAAAAACCAAACATAAAAATTTTAATTATATGTGTATATATATATATATATATATATATATATTTAATTAAATATATATATATATATATATTTAATTAAATATATACAATATTCTTTTGTTTAAATAATCTTATAATCTTTAAATAAAGGTAAAATATATATAAATGTATTATAAAATGAAATGAAAAAAAAGATGATCCTATTTTATTTATATTATAAAATATTTTATCTAGATAATTTTAAGATAATAATGCTTATATATATATATATATATATATATATATATACATATATATATATACATACATACATACATATATATATATATATACATACATACATATACATATACATATACATATACATATACATATACATATACATATACATATACATATACATATATAAAAGAACAATTTAAGATATAAGAACAAATATGCTCTTTTACATTATTTTTCACAAACTTTATTTTCTAAAAACAAAAAACTTTTTTAAGTATGTTATTTAATGTTATTTAATAAGTGATCTTTATCTGAAAGATAAATTTATAACTGAAAAAACATTGATGTAAAAGCATATATTTAAAAATTTTATATATTTACTGCGATATGGATTAAATTCACTTCTAAGTTTTGTCTTAAAAGAATTTGAAGAAGATAACACTTTTTTAAATCTAAGATATATATATATGTTTTTTTTTTAATAATCTGTATAATGATGAAATAAAGCAATTATATCATCTAGATAATTGTCTGTATTTTATAGATTATCTTTTATATAAATAACAAAAAACACGGTGCATATTTCGAGAACTTTTAAGGTGCGATTTACAGAAGATATACATAAATTCATCGTAATTTGGACAAATATTTCATGTAGAAAATTTCAGATCAGTTTCAAATTGATTTTTCCTCCTCTATATGTAATAAATAACATTAATATATTATTTATAAAGAAATATATTATTAACAAATTAATAACTAGATAAAGAAATTAAGGCTCTGTTATGTATTAAAACAATTCTTAATTGAGAATAAGAGCTATTAAGAGTCAAGGCGGATGGTAGTGCGTGAACTTAAAAATGATTAGTAATTCGCGAAAATTAAACCGCGTAATTAAATATATTATTAATTATATAATTATAATATAATAATAAATATAGAATATATTATTTATAAAGAAAGATGTAGAAGTTTTTTCTTTTTTTTATTGTTTCATTATTTTTTATTATTTTTATTATATGAGATGATTTTAGTTACTTCAGTGCCAAGTTTTCGAACTTTAATATTTCTGTGTAATAATGTTTTATAATATGTTTTAATGTAGTGTGTCTGATTGATTGCGGTCAATCTTTATGTGAAATCAAACGGCAATTCTCATGATGTTAATCTTTGAACAATAGAAAAAAATTGATAAGCATTTTATTCTGTAAAAGTGCAACGCCATTGCTAAATAATGAATTAGATCTCTTTTATGCGAGTCTTTGAGTAGCCCTGTAAAAAAGAGTACGATTGCAACATTTATTATAATAGATCACTTGGATAAACACATCCAAGATATGGGAAATAATTTAATGCGCTTCGTGATAAACGCAATTAAAACGATGATATGCATATTTATGCTTGTATTATTTTTTAAATGATCTTTTTTATTAATCCTCTTAAAACATACATTCGTAAACTAATGATTTGCTTTTCATGCTTATTTTAGACTACGTATATTATATTAATAAAATTAAAGAAAATATTTAAAAACAAGATTTAATAAATTTTCTTTTAAGAAGATAAACTCAATTTCGATATTAATAATCAACTCAATAGCAATAGACAATCAATGAAAAGATATTTGTCGACAATCTATCTATTGTATAATCATAAGAATAGATTAATGGATTTAAATTTATTTGAAATTAATGTTTTGAAAAGCTCTGGCGAAATAAGTTATAAGAATATGCAATGAAAAATGAGGATTCCCATCTAAGAAATTAAAAATGACTTTCATGTAACCTTCAAACAACTATCCAAAGTCAAATTAATGTCACCATCAGATGTGCCCCTCCGAACCTTACAAATTTTGTTTGAAATATTTTTTTGATAAAGATTACTTTCTGAGCTATCGAGCTATTAAGAGTTATGTGGACCATTATATATATTTATATACAGGGTGTTCTAAAAAGATATGTCAAAAATTTAAGGAGATATTCCTCACACCTGAAGGATGAAAAAATTTATAGATATAGGCTTATTTAAGGAGTTATGTTACATATGTGTGTGTGTGTGTGTGTGTGTTGTGTGTGTGCAGAGTGTTATAGAGTGACTATATCAGGCATCTTTTTGGAAAAATATACATTTTCGTGAAAAATGTTCCATATAAAAGTTGTAAGGTGTTTTAAAAAATCTATTTACTACACTTATCAATTCGACCTTCGATTGTCAAGATCAGATCAACTTAATTTATATAGAACATCAACGTATTTTTTATTACATATTCTTGTACTTCGAGAAAGGTTTCCAAAACATTATAATAAAGTATCTTTTCATTAAGTTCTTTTCGAGTTATGAGGCTTGAAATAATTTCTTCATTTTACATACAGCGATATTCTAATGAAAACTTAAAAAAATGGGACATCCTACACACACACACATATATATATATAGTTAATAAAAACAGTACATTCTCTCCTTTTCTTCGAGCATTACATTCCAGAAAGTATTTGCAATAATGTCACCCATAAATCTGCATGTGTTATGGTAAGAAAATTGTAATGTAATTGCATGATTAAACATTTATGAACACATAGCATTACTGTTTTAATTTACCGATATGTTTTGATACTTCATTAAATAATATTTTGAAAAAATTATTATACAAAAAATTCCTTCATATATAAAAAATATAATTTTTGATAATAACTATAACCAGATATATATATGTATATGAATTTGATGCTGATTTTCGAATTTGCTTTAGATTTGTTTCTATATTTAAATTAATTTGAGAAGAAATTCAAAGGAATTTAATTTTGTGTTTTGTGTCGCGAAAATAATCCATAGATGTGTATTATTTTTAAAATAAATATAGAGAAGAGTTTCGTATAAATCTATTGACGAAAATAGATTCACCGCTAGTTTAACTTTGCACACATCAACATATTATCAAGAAAGTCAAAGATCTTCTTCGTATTATTCGATAATTTTATTATCAATGATGCTATTGCTTTTATTTAATATACTAAGTATGTATATCAAATTACTTTGGAAATTATGACTTTTTTATTCCACATTTTCTTTTATAATGTCATATATTTTATTTAAATATGTATATATTAGCTATTTTTGTATTTTTTTTTTGTTTTAGTATTCAATCGATAAATTTCAATGATATGAATATTATCGCATGTTTTTATATATGTGAAAAGACTATATTTGTAATAGAATTAATAAAAGATCGGATCCAAAAAGAATGCAAAATGATATATTTAAGTAATTAGATAATAATTTTACGCGAAAAACCGAGAAAACTTGAGACAAAAACTTGACTGACACTTCACTAATGTTATAATTGATAATGACACATAAAATTACGTCATTCAATTACTATTCCTTCTCATCTTCCACATCTTTGT